GAACTTGGGATTTCTGTGTAGACCCAGCGTACGGTGGACGGCCTGCATATGTGAAGATTGATTCATTACCCAGTCATGTGCTCCCAATGGAAATAGGCTCTAGGATAATTGTATATATGGATTGAGCCTGTCTAGGTTGCTTCGGTTACATCTGGGGTTCACAATTATCCTAAAATTTTGGATTAGTCTGGCTGGACTGATTCTGGAATGTATATGGTTATTCTGGGTCTATGGAAGTTATTTGGGGCCTTAAATAGGAACTGGAAGCACTTCGTGGCCACAGCTTGCGAAAGTTACCAGTTGGGGTAATCTGATTGGGTATCAGCCCTGGGTATCTGATTCTGAGTGGGTATTCCAGACCTGATTAGATACGTAGGCCCAGCGTACGGAGGACGGCCTGCTGTGAACGTCCTTCCTAATGTCTCTCAGCTTGTTTAGTCATAATTTTGACTAACCTTCATCTAATTCTATTTAGATACGACCCAAGAGCCACCCCAAGGAGCTACGGAAAAAACACCAAGAGGCTAATACTAATTGGAAATCCAACACTTAAACTTAATATATTGGACTTAATTTCTTTTTTCTAATTTGTATATTAGTGTCTTTTTATTATTTTTTCAATAAAATTGAAATTATTCATGACTTTAACTCTTGTGTATAATTTAAAATTTAATAAAAAAAAAATGAAATTTACATTAGCTTGTTTGTAGCTTGCTTATATTCGTCCTTGTATATAATTTATGATAAAAATTAACTGCAGTAAATAAAAAACAGATATGAAATTAGATTTCACTATAGCATGAGAAGAATGAATAAAGCAAGTATAATAAACCTTGATTATTAATATTAATTATAAATAAAAGTCTTTCTAAATCATTATACTTGATGAACATTTTTATCAATTATTTAGGCGGAGTTGATGGAATTAAAATGTTTAATCATTTATAAATTATATATATATATAAATCATTATACTTGATGAACGTTTTTATCAATTATTCAGGCGGAGTTGATGGAATTAAAGTGTTAAATCATTTATACATTATATATATGTATGTATATATAAATCATTATACTTGATGAACGTTTTTGTCAATTATTCAGGCGGAGTTGATGGAATTAAAGTGTTAAATCATTTATACATTATATATGTATGTATGTATATATAAACAATTATACTTTATGAACGGTTTTATCAATTATTAGGCGGAATTGATGGAATTAAAGTGTTAAAGCATTTATACATTATATATATATATATGTATGTATATATAAAAACATTGTTCAAGTAATAATCAAGAATCATTTCTAAATAAACAAAATTCTCTCTTTTAATTTTAACTTGTATATATTACATATTAATACATCTCCATCAGACCCAGCTAATGTTATTGATGATAAATATTTGATAAAACAACCACTAATAAATAAATACATTTCTAAATATATATAAAAAATATTAATTGATGGATGAAAAAAAAAATAGTGATAGTATCTTTAAAAATATTTACCCCCAAAAAACCAAAGTTAACTGACATCATTTCCATTTTATTAATAGCCATCCTTGAAAAGAGTCTGTTATGCGAATTCATTTTTGTTCAACAAGTAAATTTGAAAATATTACCAAGTTAATAAATATGTTTGATACAACTTTCATCCATATATATTATTATATTACTATATCTCAATTTAGGTAAAATGTTTCGTTACCACTAATTGGTAAAAAAAAATTAATAATAATCTTTAAAATAACTAATATTAATATTAATAATCAGGATCTATTACGCGAATTCATATTCGTTTAAAAAAGCAAAATTTGAAGCTATGTTAATACTTTTATCGCATCAATAAATCAAATTAATTTCCACACATATTGAGAATATTCAAATCAAGATTATTTACCTCTAAATATCTACATGATCAAATATTGCCTTCACATCCCGAGTACTCCTATTGTATTTTCGCCTTCTATGGTGTGCATATATTTAACGAGATTTTTGAAAATGTATATACTGTGTAGGGTTATCGGCAAATCTACCTTGAGTTTTTCGCCTATTATTTCTAGATTTGCGAGACGTATATATTAATATGGATAAATGACTTCAATTTTTCCGGATTAATCTCAAATAAAAACATGAATGAACGTAATTTTGGTAAGACATGGTTACATAGAACCTTTATTTTATGAAATAAGAAAATGACAACATAAAAGTAAAAAAAAAAATATCACAGTTACATATATACTAATACTGCAGACGTAAATAAAAAAGACACTTATTCATCATTACTAATGGGGTGGCTCGGTGTTCAATCGCACAATGAATTTTATTATGAGGAGGCTGGTTACAAAAATGTTCAGAAATAAATTGATCCAGACTGTTTAGGACCCAGTCCCAAAAGGACTGATTAACATCCTAAAACTAAACTACTTACAATTTTTCAAATTTTCATTTGTGCATGTGTAAATTTATTTGGTTAGATTATTTCTCATATATGTTAATATGTCAAGATTTTTTATTAATGAATTCTTCGCTCCCTTCTGAATTCAACTTTAAATAAGTATATAATTAATTTATTTGAAAGATCTTTGAAAAAGAAATATTGGTCAGATAATATAACTTGACATTGAACCAGAACAAGATGACAATTATGACAATAATCAAACAATAAACAATATAAGGTGATGTGACAATTATTTTCAAATCATTACAAGATGATAACAATCTCAAATTTTTATACAATTTTTGCACAAATCCTTAAAAAATTTTGTGCAAATTGAATTTTATACACTGACAACAATTAGTAGTGCCAGTGATGACAGTAATTTTTGAGATGATAAACATCATGGTGTTTTGATCATGGGCATTGTTGGTAACATTCTCTACATTAACTCTATAAAAAATTAAATTATTTTTTTACTTTGAAATAGAAATGAATATATCATTATAGCAAATGTTCCCACACTAAAAAATCCAGAAGATGTAATCATAGAAGTTGGACCAACAAATGAGATTGTTTATATATCAGATGTTTTAAATGAGATTTCTTCTACAACAAACAGTACCTCAATAGACAAAAATATCTTCAAAAATGGGACTTTGTTTGAGCATATAATTTCGCTTCCACCAAAGTGAGCTTTTTAATATGTGTTCATTCATAATCATACTATCATTATATTGTTAAATTTATTAAATTTATAATGAATTTTCTTTATTAAAAAAAAAAAAAAAACAGAGTTGATAGAAATCAAAAGGTTAAAAAAATCATTCTTCATGGGGAGTTGGTAAAAGTTATTATAAAAAAAAAAACAATCAAAAAATAAGAGTGAAAGATTCGTTTTTTTTTCCCAGTATCTATAGATTTATTATTATTATACATATTTTTTGTATATTTTTTATTATATATATATGTTTATTTCGTTTATATATATATATATATTTATTTGGTTTTTTTTTTGTATATTAAAAAAAGAAGGTGGCGGTGATTATTGATCATGTATTTTAATTACAAACTAAAATGTCCAAAAAATACCAACAATGATAATATGGATATTACAATTGATGGTGATGACGAAACAATTAGAATAGAAAGTGGCAAAGAAGGCAGTGGTAGTGATAATAATATCGAAAATGATATTTAGATGTTTATATATCCTAAATAAAATTTTGAAATTTCCCACTTCTAAAAGTAACTTCATTCTACACTACATTTTGATATTGGAGGCCAAATATATTCCTATACAATATTGGTTATATATGTCATTATTAATTTCAAATTTAATATAAATAATTCATTATTAGGATTTTGCAATTTTGTCATTACGCTATAGTTTCAAATAGCATTCCTTAATGTATTTGTTCTAAGGATTAAACTTCAAAAGGTTCAGTATTTGTATAGAACCTTTTGTGCAAAATTCTTTGATTCATTTGAAGATTTTTAATTAGCAACTATTACCCATAAGCCATTGGGAAAATTTCATTCTTTTTTTTTTGATAATATATTATTCAAAATGTTTTCTCTTGTATATACTGTATACTTGTAAATAAAATTTTCCTTTTATTTGTTTTCTCATTAAAGAACATAAAAAGAACAGCAGTAATCATAAATCCCCAAAAATATATTTTATTAAGTGCCGAAAAGATTATTGCTGATTTTTAATACATAAAGTCCACTAAAATACAAAATCCACTAGACTTCAGGCCAGCTTCCTTTTAAATATTGCTGGCCTCTACCCAATATTTTGTAGGCTTCTAACCCACTATCAAATCCTTGTAAGCCTCTAACCTACTCCAAATAAAAATCCGTTTCTATTGAAAAGCCCCATGTGATGTAACGGATGATTGTTTATCATTGCGTGACTGCCATAGTAATAGCCAATTTGTTCTAATTGATCAACACTAACGATTTAACTATCTCACGGTTTATATATAGTTTATATTATATTTTATAACCTTGACAACAAGAAAAAAAGAAAATAACTGAAATAATGAATGAAAGACTTTTTCGTTTACCATTTGAATTCAATGATGATGAGCTTGGTCCATGGGATGTCCTGCTCAGCAATTATGCAATTGCAGATATGCGAAAATTGGAGCCTCTTACAGTCAAGGCGGTTATGGAGAAACTCATGCAGATATCAAGTGGAAAGTGGAATAAATATAGACTGCAACATACTGTATACCCTTACATTGTACCTATTTATGAAGTGGAGCTTCCAGATTATGGTGGCTTGAAAATTCTCTGGCAGGTTGATTATGGATTCTCTATTCGTAGAAATTCACTCATGCAACATGTGGCAATTTGGACAGTCACTGTAAACCAAGAGCAAATCAACGAAAAATTAGAAAACATTGCATTACTTCATCAATTCTACACTCCTGAGCATAAATACTGGTGCACATTCCAACAGATTGGAAAAGGTGGTATCATTTTACCAAAATCCTTTGAAGATGAGGATGGAACAAAGTCTACCCAGAGCAAATTGAATGAGAACCAATCAGATGATAAAAATTTGTTGAAAGTTCATGAAATGCTTACCACAAACAAGTTTTTTCCATTATCAAAGGTAGAGTGTAAATGTGAATAAATCATTATTGTTTAAAGATTTAGACAAAATACATTTTAACTGAAGTTACATAAATAATCTTTGTTTGTTTCCAGAACTTATTTAAGTCACTTGTCAGGGGTGGTACCGATTTTACCTTTCAGGTATCTAAGCTTGAGTATGAAATTATTAATCATCCTTCATCAGCAATTGTCATTGGCCGTTCTGGTTAGTGTTGTTGATATAGGTGTGCTCTTGTAAATGGGGAAAAAGTTAACATTGTTTGCTCTATTTGATACCCAGGAACTGGAAAAACCACATGTATTGTGTTCAGACTTCTTGGTTCATATCTGACTAGTCAGCTTAATAAGACATCATCTTCAAATGATAATAATGCTAATTCTCACAAGAGACAAATATTCATTACATTGAGTAAAAACCTGTGCTGTAGAGTAAAAGAATATTTCAACAAACTGCAAGGGTCAGCAAAACTTACTAATGAAAAGATGTCTGTGGCTCAATTTTATGAGTGTGTAAATAGAAAAGGAGAGGAAGAAGGTAGTAGTAATATTGATGTGAAAAATGTCACAAAATTAGAAAAGGGAAATACTGTGGATTATGCTCCAAACTCATTCCGTGAGCTTAAAGATGACCATTTTCCATTGATAATTACCTATGAAACATTCATTGAAATGCTTCAAAAAACTTATCCACCCAAACAAGGTACAGATGACAATCCATCATGGAAACATATTGTAAAATACAGATCCTTTGCAAAAAATTATTGGCGTCATTTCAATGATTATTATACAAAGAACTTTGATTGTGGGCTGGTCTTCTCTGAATTTTCTATCATTAAGGTATGTAACAATATGTAAAATCCCCACATGAAATTGACCTTATGTAATTTAGCAATTATTTTTATTTTGTTAGTTCAAATTTATTGTTATAATTTAATTAACTGTTGATTATGACAGTGCTCTATTTAAATGATTTTTTCAAAATTTCCTAAGGGCTCTAATCCAGAAGGTGAATACCTATCAAGAGAAGATTATCAAGTTATTAGCACTAAAAAATACCCAACATTTTGCTACAATCGTGATGAAATTTATGATTTATTTCTAGAATATGAAAAGAAGAAGTCCTTGAATTCTGACTATGACTCAATAGATCAGTAAGTATCAGTCAGATAATATATAATTTTTTCATTTTTTTGATAAATTATCAAATCTTTTTTTTAGGACAATTAAGATCTTAGATCGTGTCAAAATGGATCAAGAGAGAGAGAATCCATTTAATTTGCAAATTCATGAAGTATATATTGATGAGTGCCAGGACAACAGCATTGTGGATTTAGCACTTATTTTAAAGCTCTTTAAACATGCTGACAGCATTTTTTTGGCTGGAGATATAGCACAATGTATTGCAAGGGGATCATCTTTCCGATTTCAAGGTATGAATGCAAGAAGACAGCTAAGGATGATTACCACACATAGTATTTTTTTTAATATTCATTTATAATAACAATGGTTTAATCTTAATATAGATCTGAAGGCTTTGATATATAAATGGGAACTTGATCGATCCAATCAACCTAGTGCCATAATGCCAAAACTGTTTGAAATGAATATTAATTATCGTTCACACAATGGGATCCTTAGACTTGCTTCATCAGTAATTGATCTCATCACTCACTTTTTTCCTGAATCCATTGACCATCTGCCACATGAGCATGGTGAGGTTGGTGGTCCTCGGCCTATGGTTTTTGAAGGGATTGATGCTGAAGCATTCTTTCTCCTTGACTTTTCTAAGGATGGGAATGAGTCAAGTAATGTTGAATTTGGTGCTGAGCAGGCCATTATTGTACGTGATGATGAAGCTAAAGAGCATGTGAAGGAAAAAATTGGTAAAGAATTTGGTTTGGTATTAACTGTGTTTGAGTCCAAAGGGATGGAGTTCAATGATGTGCTGTTGTATAATTTCTTTGCTGATTCACCTGCACATTCAAAGGTAAAGTATTATGCACTGTTTGAACCATGCCATATTAATCACTTATTAAATAATTATATGCACATATTCAGTGGCGGGTAATTTTCTCTGCTTTTGACAACCACTCAAAAGGAATTCAAGAATTTTATCATGAGAAACATTATATCCTTTCTTCAGAACTCAAACATCTTTATGTTGCAGTGACAAGAGCACGCCAGCAAATTTGGATATATGATGAAAACACTGAATGGAGGGAACCAATTTGTAAGTATTGGAAGCACCATGGATTGATCAATGTGATTGTGAATGAAAATGAAAACGATACTTTGTCTACTTTGGATGAGGAAGGAAGTGGTAGTCCATATCAATGTCACTCTAAACAAGCAAAAATAGCTTTGTCTAATTTGGCTGAGAAAAAGAAAAGCAGTACAGATGAATGGGATCAACAAGGAAAAATTTTTTTTGAAAGACAGCAATATGATCTGGTAAAATTTGCATTTGAAATATTCTATTATGAACTGAGTTAACTAAATGTAAACAATTCACTTTTAGGCTGTTTTTTGCTTCAAGAAAAGTGGAAATGAAGAGAATGAAGAGCTAGCAGAAGCATATCTTTTTCAGCAGGTTGCCAGAGATTCTATATATGATTACGATGATGTTTCTGTGAACTCCAAATTCATTCGTGCTGCTGAAGCCTTTGTAAAGTGTTCACTACCAATTCAGGCAGCTTCATGCTATGAGGTAGTATCTTTGTTTTTACTTGAGTTTTTTTAAATTTCAGGAATGAATGGATGCATCAGGAAATTTTTTCAGACATAATTATTATGAGTTCATCATGTAAAACTAAATTGTTATTATTATTACACTAATTAAGCCTGGAAGAATTCCCTGATGTGACACGAAATAGTGACTTTAAAAAATTAATCATGTCTATATGTATTCATCCAGGATATAAACAAGCATGAAAAAGCTGGTGACCTTTATGTAGAGTGGGATATGCTTGAGCCTGCTGCTCATTGTTACTCCAAAGCCAAAAAATGGGATAAAGCAGGCAATTATTTTCAACAGGTGGAGAAGTATACTGAAGCTTGTCAAGCTTAT